CCCGGGAAAACCGGGTACCCGATTTTCTCGGGTCGGGTCATAGGATACCCGGATTTGATAATTGATATGACAACAATTTGCCCAAAATGTGAAAAAATTATAAACAATCTAGAATCTATTACCCAAAGTTCGCACAATTAGGAGATAAGTATAATTAAAATTACATACAATTACAACTAAAAATAAATGTTTACTTTTCCTATAAAAAAAGAACCTTACTGAATTGAACATTTAATTACAAAAAAAAAAAAAAAAAAAAAAAAAAGTAGCCCAGATTTTGTTAGTAGCTTATAGTCTTAGATCATCACCAACCATCATTATCAACACCACCATCGTACGGAGTATTTTCTTTCTTTTGTGGCAGCTGATCAATGCCATTTATGACACTCATTTGATGAGTATTTAGGTTGTTTTTACCTTCCTTTTCACAGCTTTCTTTCTTAATAAATGCTTAGTTTTATGCATTTTCTCTTTATTTCCCTTTTCTCTCTTGTGTTTGTGTTTTTATGGGTTTTCTAGTGTTTTCTCCTTTATTCCTCCTCTTTTCGTGGTTGTAGGTATTGTATGAGGTTCAGATCTCGATATTGGTGGTTTTCTAAGTTGGAAGATCCTTTTGGAGTAAGCTCATAGCATTGGGAAAGCTCAAGATGCAAGGAAGTGGATGCTCCAAGTTCTAGCTTTTGCGCTCTCAAGCCGTGCTCCCATAAAGAAGTGGTGTTGAACCCACTGAGGAGCCCATTTGAATTTGCCATGCTTAGTGTCTATCATCATCATACTGCATGCACTCGAAGACCCAATTACGAATGCACAAAGCGGCGAAGAAGTCGAAGAAACCCAAAAGAGTGCGAGCGCGCAACCCGCGCACGTGGGCGCACAACCCCTATGCATGGGCGCACACCCTTGCTCGTGCGGGCGCTCCTCCCTGTGTTTCGGCTTCGCTTGATTTTGTTTTTCGTGCCTCTTATAAATACCTTTTGATAACCGATTTTTTGAAGAAGTTTTAGACATAATTTTGATCATAATTTTAGCTTTGTTGTGAGTTTCGCTATCTAGTTTTAGGAGTAGATTTATAGAGAGAAAGTGAGGAATTTCATTGGGGATTTGAGAGATTGAAGATTCAAGGTGACAATTGTATTAAAGATCTCCATAATAATCAATAAGGATTTCTAACTCTATCTCATTTTATTGCTTTGATTAATTTCATGTTTGTTTGATTTGGTTTTGATGATTGATCTTGATTAATGTAATTGTTCTTCACATTTTGTTGATTCTTGATTTTTTAGTTGTTTGTTGATTAGATGACAATTCTTAAGTAGTCAAGCGCAAAAAAAAAAAAAAAAAAAAAACTTACCGTAAAGCCACGCGCAAAATAAAAAAAATCAGTTGCACTGCCCTTAGCAACACATCTTAATCGCTTGCGCGCAGTATGCGCGCGCGACTTTTTGAGATGCGAGCGCCACTTGCTGTGGCAGAATGTTCAAAACCCTAAATGCATCCATTCCCAATAAATAGAGGTTCAATATGAAGCTTTGAGACAAAGAAATCAACCTAAAAAGTTAGTAGAAACTTTGTGAACTTATACTCTAATTACCCCTCTTATCTTAAACACTCATCCCTTTATTGTTTGTTCTTACGGGCGGTGGAGCTTCCCCAACAAGAAGGAGTCCATAAGTGTTCTAAACGAAGATCTAGCAAGGAAAAGTGGTAAATTCCCGAGCACTTAGATCAATCACCTTTTCTTTTCTTGTTTAAACAACTTTTAATCCATTAATTAGTGTTGTTTGATCACTTAAAATGAACTTTTATTTAATTAATTCACATAGTGTTCTTTAAATAATCAAGACTAGATTTGGATAAATAGTTGATTGTTTTATCATTTAAGCCAAGGCAGATCTTGTTTATTTTTGTTCTTTCACGAATTTGAATAAATAAAGAATAACCACTTTTGCAAAGTAATTCTTACGTGATTAAATGCGTGTAAATAAAATCAACTAACTTAGTTTTAGGTATCACATTGCATATATTATTTGGTAATGAAATTGTGGAAAAGGAAGAGCTAGTAGAGGCCGCACTAGGGATTGAATAGCGATTCCCCCCTAAAGGGAACATTATTTTAGTACCCTTGCTCTCGAACTCATTTCTGGTACAAGTAGACCAATTTGGGCATGGGTAAACTTATGATTCATGCTAAATATACCTTGAACCCTACTTGGGAGAAAGAGATGAACGAGGTTTATGAGTTTTATGAGTTTTCCTAAAACTCATTGGCAACTCCTTATTAGTTTCTTACAAAAAAGTGTAATGATAGAATCAACTCTAATTCAAGGTCCCCCAAACAGTCAAGAATTCAAATTCTAATACACCCTAAAAAGTGTAAATACCTAAGCTAAGCTTTTAAAGGGCTATGGACATAGAGGAGAAGGATCCCCTACGATGGGCACACCCTCCTCACAAAAAGTTATCTTATCTTATTTGAATTATAAAATCTGAAACTTATTTTTATAAGATGAAGAGAATACGTCTTTTGTTGACATATTAGTTGATTTGGGTATTTTTTTTACCCAGCTACGCGGACCAAATAAAGCGTGACACGTGTCACTCTAGGGAGAGTCCAAAGTGGACCTACCAGGATATGACACGTGACAGAAATCTCAAAGGGATTGACAACCTTCAGGGCCCAATTACCGAGAAAACTACAAAATGACATAACACATTGGTCCTAAGTCGAAGTGACCTAGGTAAGGGCACGAATCCCAATGACCCTATTAATAGGGAGATTCACCCTTTTCTTGGGATACGGTCATTTATTACTCACAATCAATTCTCTAACATCAAAGAAAACACTTGATCTCGAAATCCGAGAAGATTTACTTTTACTTTCTTCATTTTTTTACCTTACTCCGAACACTTTCTAATAACTTAATCGTCGGAGGCGGAACTCCGACTGCACTAAGCTTCCGTTGGTTTGCAGGTAAATTGGAGGGAAATCAAGCTTAGTGACGTAACTCACTAGTAGGACTGATTTTGTATTACTTTTTTTGGTTTGCAGGTAAAACCCCAAAACAATAGTGTATTACTTATATGTTGCCAACCACCTTCCCTACAGGCTGATTTTGTTAACGGATTACTATAGATATAGTTTCCATTTCCCAAACATCCTTTTCCCGCGATAATAATTATATTATATATTTTTTTGACAAGAATAATTATATTATTATTGAAAAACATCAATTAGTTTTTTTAGGCAATTAATTAGAGTTTATTTGAACAAAGTACTTTGTATTTTTTTTTGTCAAATACTCTGTATAAAGTACTTAAAATGCCAATAAAAAAAATCTATCTATCTATAAATATACTAAAGTAGCAACCGCTGATGTCATCTTTCCCCCCTAAACCTGTACACGTGTCGACTTATTATAAAAAAATTTCCCGCCCAAAAGTGTATGACTTATTTTAAAAAAAAAATAATAATAAAAAAATTATCATGTGATAGTTTAGATACATTGTACCTAAATAAATCATTTAAAGTTACAGCAGTAAACTATTACGAAGTATTTCCTAAAATAATGGGATTAAAATTGGTATAGTTGTTTTTGTATACTATACATTTTACATAAATCAATATTTAAATTACAAGTAATAAAAATAAACTGACTTCTATTTTCCTAAAAGGTAGGGATATTAACAGATAGTTGTTTTTCTACTTCGAATTCATATTAATGATTGGGTTGCTTCTTGATACAAGAATTTGGAATTTTTTTTTTCAAACCAGAATATTTTCTTAATACAAAAATTTTGTTTGTTTGTGTGTGTTTTCTTAGAGATCATCAACCTTAATATTTTTCCATACTATTGAACATGTTGTTGATGATACCTTTTTTTTATTTTTTATTTTTTTCATTCAAAGATTGATAAATTGAACTTTGTAATATTTCTCTATATTTGATAATTTGGGTGTTGTTTCATTAAATTTTAAGTTGGCCACTACAGGTCAATTATATTGAAAGCGTTGAATGTATTATTAGTAAATATATCACTTAACTATATAGGCTTATGATTTTATCTATGGCAAAAATGTGGAAATATTAAAGCAAAATTAACATTAATTATCCGATTGATGTGTGATTTTTTTATGCATTACAAACTTAATACGGAGTACTATTTTAAGTAATATATTAATTAGTTACCTAACGCCTCACTCGAGAAGATTATTTGTAGAGTATATGTGCGTTCAACACTACTCCTTCCGTTTAAGAATGATGTTCTTGTTTCGTAAATTGATGCAAATTTTTAACCATCTTTGATCGCAAATATCTTTAATCTCATACTAGCAAATTTCATAAAAGTTAGATATTAGTAATCTACTCACCAAGACGAATCAAAATAGATCTCACATAACTATATTTGTTCTTATAGATTAAGAGAAATTTAAAAGATTCTTTTTTTTTAAAGTTTAAAAATTACAAACAAGAACAGAGTACAGTTTTATTTGTTTAACCGATTGCACGAGGCTAATCTTGTATAAATTAAATTATCACCCACCATAATCTGTACATATTTCTTCTTTTAAAAAAAACCAGTCCCTAAAGATTGAATTATAAATTGTCAACCCAAAAAAGCTTTATAATTGGGCTCTAAAATCTCAAGTCATAAACTTGAAAAAGACCCCACTAAAAACCATTAAATATTTTGACACTATTTTCAAAATTCCAATTTTACGCAATGACTAAAGGAGAGAGAAACCAATTTTGGCCAAATTACAAGATTGGAGGGAAAATTGCAAAATTTATTTCTTTAAATGACCAAATTAGTGAATTACCCCTTAATCTCTTCTTAAGTCAGTCCATTTTAGTATGCTAATCCTTTGGTCTTCACACTTCAACTATACGAGTAGTATAGAAGAGTATAGACATACTTCTGAATTTCCGGAATCCCCAAAAACAGAAAAAAAAAAAAAAAAAAAAAAAATAAAAATGGAGAAAAAAAAGGAAAAGAATCCATTTTATTTAAAACCCACTTCCCCAAAATCAAAAATATTAAAAACCCCTTCATCTCCCTCTTTTTCTTTGTTTTTCTCTCTCCAAAACCCCAAATTTTCAAACCAAATTTGATGTAATTCGTTTTGTAATCGAAGAGAAGTTTACAAAGATTGAATTTTTCTAGTATCTTGGAACTTTTTCGTACATTATATTTCTGGGTTTTATCTGCATTCATAAGCTGCTTCTAGAGGTAATGATTTTATTTACTATATTTCTCTTTTTGCTGTTAGATTTCTTGTATTTTTTTGGTTTTTTGTTTTTTTGATTTCTTTAAATTTTGTTTGGGTGTTTCAGTTTTATCTGGGTATTTGATAAGTGTTCAGATTTGGTGATCTTTTGCTGGTTTGTAGAAATATGAAGGTTGATTGATTTTGGGATTTCTGGAAGAGGTAATGAATTTCAGGGCTTAATTTTGAATTTGGGTATTGTGATTTTTTTCTGGGTTTTTGTTGATTGAATGAGATGAGGGAAGGGTTGAGGTCAAGTAGTTCGAAGAAGGAGGATGTTAAGGTTGGTTTAGAACACAGTGTTAGTAATTTGAGAAGGGTTAAAATTCCTGATTTGAATTTAGAGGATGACCCCGATGATATTTTGAGCGAGGAAGTGGAGATATTAGGCTCTGAAGTGAGCAAGGCTGATGGGAAGTCGAATGGGGTAGTATGTGAGAAAGAAGGTGTTGGTGAGGATGAGGGTAAAGGAATGGAGGTTGAGGATGGAGGGGAGGTATATGCGACTCCGGAGTTCAAATGCAGCCGTGTTGTTGGAGTTGAGGGAGAGGTGGTGGCGGCGGAGGCAGTAGGTGATGTTGATTTAAGTATGGGGGTTTGTTCAACTAGGGGAATCAATGATGAAAAGAAAATTGATGAATTTTTTGAGAATGTAGGTGGAGAGGAGAAGGCAGCAGGAGTGGAGGGGTTAAAATGTTCTGTTGATTCTGATGACCGGGCTTTGGAGTCAGCTTTAGCTGTTGATAAGAAAAAGGGTTCAGGGGATGATGAAGGGCTGGTGCGTTCAAGTGTGGAGGGTTCTAGAAGTATAAATGGTAATTGTGATGGCGAGACTGAGGATATGGAAGAGCATGTAGATGCTGATCCTAAATTGTCCAAGGATTTGCAATCAAATCTTGATGCACAAATGGAATCTCCTGAGAAGGAAAGTGTTAGTGTGGGCATTAAATGCAAGTTTGATGAAGTTGATGGTTGTAAAGGATTCAAAAAAGAGGCCAAGCAAGAAAGGGTCCAAGTTGCTGCTAGAGTTTTGAGATCCAGGGTTGTGCCAGCTAATGGTTTGGGAGAGGAAACTGAAGGCAATAGTATTGGATTCTTGCAAAGGAAAAGGAAGAGGGTAACTGATGGCCTTAAAGAAGCAGCAGTCGTAGTGGAAGATGAAAGTAGTAGATCAGCTTTGGAAAAGTCTTATGGTATTAGAAAAAGCAAGAGATCAACTGATAACTCTGGGGAGGAGTTAGTTGAGCCGAACAATGCTCGAGTTGTTTCTGAAATTGAGGATGAAAATGTGAACAATAAGCTGATTGGAAGTTCTGAAAGGAAGAGGAAGCGTGGTAGGCCAAAATTATCCAGAAATCACCCTGAAAAGGAGGTAAATCAGACTGATGAAGGACTGAACTCTGTTTCTAAAGTTGATGAGGAAGGTTTGGACAATAAATCTGCAAGTAGTTTTAAAAAGAAGAATAGACGTGGACGGCCCAGGAAAACTGCAAACGCCTTTGAAAATGAGAGAGTTGTTCCTAAGGTTGAAAATGAAGCTGGGAGGAACAACAATCCAGCAAGTTCAAAAAAGAAGGATGGACGTGGAAGGCCTAGGAAGTCTGCAAATTACCTTGAAAATGAGAAAGCTGCTCCTATAAAGGTTGAAAATGAAGGTGTAGACTTAAGCAACAGGTCTGTTGAAATTTTGACACCGAGGCGCATAAGTGGTAGGCCAAAGAGAACCGTTGATTACTCTGAAGAGCAAATAGCTCAAAAGAAGAAGAAACTCTCCTTTTCTAAAGTTGAAGATGAAGCTCCGGCTGAAGTTGAAGACAAGAGTTTAAGTGACAGGTCAGTAAGAAAATCAAAAAAGAAGGGCAAGCGCGGAAGGCCCAAGAAAGAGCCGGAAACTGATGCAGTGAAGATTGTTTGTCATGACAATGGCAAGGTAAAGGGTGACAGGGATTTAAAAGTTTCTCCTGTAGCAGCTCCTGTCAGAAGAAGCAGACGGGACAGTCATCCTCCTAAAGTATCAGAGAAGCCTAGTGATGAAGTACCTCTTGAGAAGGTAGTTCGGTCAGGTAAAAAGGTCAATTTTGTCGGACTTGATAAAGACACAGTTGGAAGATCTTCAAAAGGTGAAGAAACTCCATTACCTGAAAACAATTCACCTGCAAAGCGCAAGAGAGCTGAAATAGCTGGGTCTCTTTCTAGTGAGAAAAATGCAATAAGAAACCAAATAGTTGAAATGCTTCTGAGTGCAGGCTGGACAATTGAATATAGACCCAGGAATGGCAGAGAGTATAAGGATGCAGTTTATGTCAATCGTGAAGGAAAAACTCACTGGTCAGTTACTAAGGCATACAATTCACTTCAGCAAGAAGCTGAAGAGGGTAAGGCTAGTGAGAATTTTACCTTTAATCCATTACCAGCTGAGGTACTCAGCAAATTGTTTAGAATTGTATCCAAGACAAGATCAGACAAGAACAAGAAAAAAAAGAATAATCAAGATGGTGATACTTCTGATGAAGAAGGTTCTGCAAGTCGTAAGGCAGGAGCTAAGCAAAAACATTTTACTCTAAAAGGAAAACCCTCAGTTCGGGTTGGGGCACAAGGTAGGAGGCGGTGTGCCTTGGTGGTGCGCAGGTCTAATCAGGATTCAACTTCAGAGATTGATGGAGCCATTGCTCATTCTGGAAAGCATAGTGTTCTTGCTAGGATGATTGATTTGGGCACTGTTAGTCTGGATGGAAAAGTGCATTATAAGAACCACCATGATGCTGAATCAGTACTCGAGGGAAGCATAACAAGAGATGGCATTCATTGTTGCTGTTGCAAGGAAATAATATCAGTTTCTGATTTTGAGAACCATGCAGGGAGCAAACTTTACCAGCCCTATGAGAATATTTACCTTGAAAGTGGCTCTTCACTACTACAATGTCTGCTGGATTCCTGGAACAAACAAGATGAGACTGGTCGTTTAGGGTTTCATGGTGTCAATGTTAATGTTGATGACCCAAATGACGATACCTGTGCAATCTGTGGAGATGGCGGGGACTTGATGTGCTGTGATGGCTGTCCGTCAACATTTCACCTGGACTGTTTAGATATTGAGGTACTTGTGCTATTGAATGCCCCCCCCCCCCCCCTTCCCCCTTTTTTTTTTAACCCTGTGGCTACTGACTTTGTGTTCTTAACTAGTATGTTTTGCCCATATTTCTTGTTCCTTCTCCCCTCCTAATTTAATTAGGGTGTGGGGTTGGATCGGTGGGTGGATATAGATTAGGGATTTAATCAACTTAGGCAATAATCTAAATATGCTTAGGGGTTATTACAGCTTTCTTGTTTAGCTGACATGTTAAGATTAAACATAATTTTTCCTGGTATGCGGAATATTTTATAAAATGTGCATTAGCTTCTTGTTAAGCAGACATATTCTTCTTAGATGTCGAAAAATTTCGGTTGTCAATTTTATTTCATTCGGTTTGGATTAGACATTTTCTTTGTAGAATTGGCTGATAGTTGCCAATTGCATATTTGTTACTGGTGTTAACAATAAAAACTATGCCTTAGTTTGAATTAGGCATTTTCTTTGTAGAATTGGCTGTTAGTTGGCGATTGCATCACAATAAATTTTATGCTGAGTATCTGCATACTGGCAGTTATTGCTAATTAAGATATGTGCTATATTCTGTTAGGAGGCTATCAGCTTTTGCTACGTGAAGACTGCAGTGTATGTTAATGTTGACATTTTTCTATAAAAGTCTCATAGAATTATTGAAACTGTATCTCATTGAAACTATATTTTCGGTGAACAAAAGTATCTTATGTCATCCAATTTTTTTTATTGTAAGCTAAGTAACAAAATTTATTATTGTTCGTATGCAAATGTCTGGATTATGGACTAGCTGTGTTCAGATATGTGAGTTGCTGATTTTTTATTTGGACGTTGGATGTTTGAGCACTAATGTGGTATATGTTTTAAGTGTGTTGGTAAATGTTAGGTAACTCAGTCAGTAGAGGGACTAGAAAATAGTTACTTTTGATAGTTTATATCTTCTGTTTTTACATCTGCAGGAATTTCCTTTGGGTGAATGGCACTGTGTTTTTTGTTCGTGCAAATTTTGTGGTGTAGGTGGTGATTCTGCAACTGCAACAGAGGAAGTTGAGAGTGATACAGTCTCTTCTCAATTGGTCACTTGCACTTTTTGTGAGGAAAAATGTAACTGCCACAATTCTGTATTCCAAATAGCTTCATTTTCTTGTAACTAACTGGCTAACAACTGTTATTGACAAGTTTCTGCTGTTTTCACTGTAGATCACAAATCATGTATCAGGGAGGAGGACGATCTCTCTGCCAAATCTCGAAGGCCATACTTTTGTGGGAGAAACTGTGCACAGGTTTGACAATTATTTTTATACTCCTTCCGTCCCATAATATAATTCCTATTTGTGTTTTTCATGGTATTCAAGAAATAGAAGGAGAAAGTGAATAGAATACATTAGTAAAATTGAAAAGTACAATCATAGACAAAAGTTAGAGAGAGAAAGTGGAAAAAAGTACAAGCCATGTGCAAAATTCAAGGGTAAATTAGGAAGTACAATGAATAAAGTTAAAAAAAGTGGGGGTCTAATGGTTTTTACATGCTTTCCAAATATAGAAATAGGAATAATATTTTGGTTCTCAAAAATAGGAAAACAAGAACTATATTATGGGACGGAGGGAGTATATTATTTCCTTTGGTTTTGCTGACACTCAAAATGAAGTGCTTCTATATCTTAGACAAAAGTTAGAGAGAACATGAAGCATGAAAATAGAATACATTAGTAAAAGTGAAAAGTACAATCATAGACAAAAGTTAGAGAGAGAAAGTGGAAAAAAGTACAAGCCATGTGCAAAATTCAAGGGTAAATTAGGAAGTACAATGAATAAAGTTAAAAAAAGTGGGGGTCTAATGGTCTTTACATGCTTTCCAAAAATAGAAATAGGAATAATATATTGGTTCTCGAAAGTAGGAAAACAGGAACTATATTATGGGACGGAGGGAGTATATTATTCCCTTTGGTTTTGCTGACACTCAAAATGAAGTGCTTCTATATCTTCGATCTTGCCTGCTTCGTGGGTATAGAAGGGCCTGATTTAAAAGTTTGAGATGTTGGGATTTTAAATAAGGATGCCTTGTTAAATCTAAGTAGCTTATTAGAGCCACCTCATATGCAAGTATTATATTATGATATGATATGCAATTTGCCACTTTTTTTGTAAAATTGGGCTAAAATTACCTCTTTTGTGTTATAATCCACCTTTTCAGAATGCGTTCATTGGGGTTTAGAGTATTATGTAACACTGAGCTTATCTTATAGCATCTTTACGCCAAAGCATGAAATAATTATATGGAATATTGTTTTCTGTCATAGAATGCTGCTTACATTAACTCTGAATTTGGCTATTTATCTACTACCTCCGCTTCAGGTTCCTCGCAACAAAGGACATGTTTGCGGACTCTTAGGCAAAAGATTGAAAGCATGATTATTGAAAAATAAGAGTATATGCTTAATTGTTAATCCAACCCAAAAAAAAAGGAAAAACAAATTCAACCTTAATTAAATAAATAATCCACCACCACCGACACCATCAAGCAGCATCAAAACCAACCACCCCCACCCTACATTACCGAAACCACCTACCGCCACCCATCACCACCCACGAACCCAACACCACCTACATACCCAACACCACCCAGGAACAGCACCTAAGCGCTGCAGCAACCATTGTACCCAGCACAATCAAAACCCGAAATCGGCTACCTACCGTATCCAGCACAATCACAACCCCAAAACCACCATACCCAGCACAATCAAAACCCCAAAACCACCATACCCAGCACAATCAAAACCCCAAAACCACCATACCCAGCACAATCAAAACCCCAAAACCACCATACCCCGCAGCAATCCACCGTACCTAGCACAATCAAAACCCCAAAACCAAACCCACGAACCCTCAATCAAAACCCAGGACCTTCAGTCGAACCCAGAACCCCAATCAAACCTACAATCGAAACCAAAACCAAACTCACAATCGAAACCAAAATTGAACCCTCAATCAAACCGACGCACCCACGATGTCACCGCACCCACGAACCTAGCAACCACGAACAAACCAACCACGAACCCACAAATTCTTCTCTATCATCAATTAAAGCTTTAATTGGTCAAATCTAACCGTCAAAACTCTTCAAAATTTAGATCTTGAGTTTTGATGGTTAAATTTGATTATAAAACCTTCGATTTTGGGTTGCATTGGCACTGAGGATGGTGGTGTTGGTGATGGTGGTAATTGCCATTAAAGATGGTGTTGGTGGTTGGTAGGTGGTGGTTGCCATTAAAGATGGTGGTATTGGTGGTCGGTGGTAGTGGCGGTGGTGATGGTGGTGGTTTCCATTGAAGGTGGTGGATTATGAAGGAAGAGAGAGAAAACTTATGAAGGAAGATGTTGAATTTAGATGGAGGAGGGGAATGGATTTGGTGTTAAGGTGAAATTAATTAACCTTGGGGATTCATGTAATAGGATTAGATTTATAATTTAATTAGGATGTCTAAAAAAAAGTAAGGGTAAAATAGTCATTTTGCGGGCAAAAACTTACTAAATAAGGAAAGAAAAATATTTGTTGCAAGTAATGTGAAGTGACCATTTTAGGAAATTGTTGCGAGTAATATGAAGCGGAGGTAGTATTTGTTTAGTTCAGAGATGAGAAGCAATTACTCTTCCAATACATGATGAGATTGATAAATCCTTGATCTGTGTGCGATAACTATAAGCTACTTTACTTGGGTACAGAGGGAAAGCTTTTATTTCATATTTAGAAAGGGATTAAACTATAAATCACCTCAAGCCGAGGTTTCCTTAAACTGGTCTCTACTTGATCTCTCATATATTAATTACCTTTTTTCGTTATCTCACCAGCTCACCTTCATTACATATATGGTTTTCAGGACTTAGAAAAGAGTCTTTCAGTATTACAGAACTTGGTTATTAAGTGGCTAACTTTTACATGTGTTGGCAGTGTGTTAATCTGCTGACTGCTTTGGGAATATACTTCATGATTTCTGCCTTGTTATACTCTACACCTTCATAATATTTAACTTTTGTTTTGTTAAGTTGTGTAACCAATATAATTCTAACTACTACTTTTGCGTGTAGATGTCTGAGCGGTTAAAGAGTCTTCTTGGAGCAAAATGTGATTTGGGAGATGGATATTCGTGGACTCTACTTCAACGGTCTGACTTCAAAGAAGAATCTGTTATCTTGGAACCCCAAAAGATTCAAAACAATTCTAAATTGGCTGTGGCTCTCTCTGTCATGGAGGAATGTTTTTTGCCTATCTTTGACCAAAGAAGTGGTGTCAATTTGATACGCCATGTCATCTATAGCTGTGGGTAAGAACTTGTCCATTGTTTTATGCAAGTTATTCATGTGTGTATCCTGTTATTTCTTCCTTCAGTTTTGTTTTCTTTTTCTGCAAGAGTTCCATTCTCATCATCCTTCTCATATGCGCGTTAATTCTGTAATTTCTTGGATAAGGTAATCTATGACTTTCTGGAATTTCCCCATTTATATATCATCTGTAACTCTGGGTGTCTTTTATCGTCACTTTTTCAATCATTTGTTAGGCCTATATTCTTATGTATTTGCTATATTCAATGTTGTTAATCTTATTGTACATATCTTGAAACTAATTCTTCTAGTCTTGCTTCTCATAGCTGTGTATTTCCCTTATTGTTCTATTAGTGAGTCCTATACTCTTATGTGTTCTAATGCCTAATAGTTCATTGGCTTTTTTATACAATCCACTTGCTCAGATTTTTTTTTTTTTGTCTTTATCTTTTCCTGATGTGTTTTGGTCCTCTTCATGCAGGTCGAATTTTAACCGATTAAATTTTAGCAGCTTTTTAACTGTTGTATTAGAGAAAGGAGATGAAGTTATATCTGCAGCTTCCATCAGGTAGTTCTGTTTAGAAATAAATCCACTGGGCATGTTCTTCTCAAGTTGCTATCTACTAAGCCCTTGTTTCGAGTTAGTTTGATAACAAGATTAAAAATTATGAAATTAGTTTTTTGTATTGTTGCTTTGCAGTCTTGGATAGTTATATACTTATTGGTAGAAGGTAGGTAACTTTGAATGATATGTAACTTTTAGAGGTTGGGGAGGGGAAATAGAGATGTTATAGACTTAAATGGATTATACGAGATATAGAGACAACTAAATGAAAATCTACAAGAAAGATTAGTATAGGAGGGAGATATTTTATCTTTATATTCTCAACCAATTTAATCGCTACATAGTAATTATGCACAATTTTATAAATCGAAGAACATTGTGTCTTTGTGTCTTTTTTCTTTTCCTGGTTTAAGATTTGTAACTTGTAACAGATATAACTGTTAGTTTTGATGTCTTCCTGAAGCCAGCCCTCCTTATCACATGCTTGGTACTCTTTAAGTATGATCTTTAATCCTGTAACCTTCTTCCGATGCCCCTAATAACATAGTTTGAGTTTTCTAAAAGATATATTAGAATTTTAGAAACATTTCTTATCCCTCTTACTTGACAGTTTTTGTCTACATTTTATTACGACCAACAATCACCTTGGATATTTATAAGGGTGGTTTTGGTTACTGGTTAAATCTTGGTATTGAGATTGTCTGAATTGGGGAAAAGTTATGAGATACATGACAGTGGATGGAGTTTCCTTTTTTGGATGAGCAATATGATATGTACTAGGAAGTTGCAAGTCTTGTAACTGAATTGGTTTAGAGGAACCACCGTTGCTCTATCCTTGCCCTTAACATTTTTTTTAAATAATTTTTTTTAATCTGCTCTTTGCCTCTTTCCCTTGAATTTTAATTTAAAATTTATCAATAAGATCTTTTCTCTCTTGCTGGAATTTCCAAATATTCCAAATATTGAAGATGAGCTGTCTTTTGTACTCACTTCTAGATTTTGAATCCTAGTTTATCTCTCAGTTGGTTTATGGATCGAGCATCAGAGGTTTAGGCAAAAATGAAATTTTGATGTGGATGTTTTAGATGATGTGTAGCAAGGTGTCCAAACAGTTCTGAACATCTCCTTTGTTATTAAAAGATGTGTGATTCTTTTATCTATGATTTGGAAGACTCATTGTCTTAGTTGTGCTGTGTGTAAAGGAAAAATTGACAGGAATATTATGACCTTTGCTCGATCCGCCATAAATAAAACACCTTTTGATAATCCTCCAATAAAACGACCTTTGCACACGATCTTTCATAAATGGGGCAAAACTGCTTGGTAATCGTTTAATGGGTTAGTATAACACGTGTCACTTTGTAATTGGTTTATTTAATTATTTTATTTTTATAAAAATGATTTTAATAAAAAAAAAAAATTGATTTTAATTAACAAAAAAAAAAAAATTCCCTCAATTCCCATGAACCCCCACCTATCTCCCCACTGTCACGACCTCACCATAAAGGCCTGGTGGTTGGGTCTGGTGGTTACGTTTAGGGTGAGTAGAAGAGAGAGAGGTGGGAAAGGTATTAGATCTGGGATGAGAAGGAGAAAGAGGTGGACGGGTTTGGCCTATGAAGGAGAGAGAGGTGGTAGGTTTGGGCTGCGAAGGAGAGGGAGAGGTATCGGGTCTGGGCGGAGTTGGCGGGGCTGCCAGAATTGGAAGGGGAAGGGGTTGTGGTGGTTGGATATTGGAAGCTTAAATTGCTTTGTTAATTAGTGGCCGAAGTTTTCGCCGCTGCTTAATTATGTGCGATGGTTGTTGGTGAAGGTGGAATGGTGGCTGAGATTAGCTCAGTGATGGTGGGCACGCAGGGGTTGCGGGTTGCTTGAGGTGCTGCTGGGCAGTTTTGTGCGACTGTTCGGTTGCGGCATGGTGGTGGAAATGTGGAGGTAGGAGTTGTGCGGTGTTGAGAGAAGGTGGGGCTGTGATTCTGTGAGGTCTATGGTGGCTGGGCGGTTATGGTGGCATGAGGTGGAGCTGGTTGTGAGGTGAGGTGGCTTTGGGTGGCCGGAGAAATGTTCAGAGCAGATGCTGAACGTGAGGGTTTTTTTTTTTTTTTTTTTTTTTTTAAATTTTTTTAAAAAATTAATATCATTAATTTAAAAGAAATATGTTAAAATTTAAATTAAAATATTGTAACTAATTGTAATGTGACACATGTCCTTCATTAACCTATTAAACAAGTTACCGGTTTTTTATCCTATTTTTGGAAGATGATGTGCAAAGGTCATTTTATTGGGGGATTATCAAAAGATTGTTTTATTAATGGCGGAAGGTCATAATATTCCTGTCAAATTTTTCTTTCTTAAAATCAAGTCCTCTAATTTAATTTTAACCAAAGTGTGGTGATGTCTAGAAATGTTGTCTAAAGTGCTGTAATTGAAATTCGGCTTCAGTTTATTTGAGTGTATCCAAGAACAACTAGGAGCATATACTCTGTATTAAGAATGTAAATGTTTAATTTTTTTTGTTTAACTATGATTTGCTAGGAACCATAAAAATCACAAATCTGAATTAAAAAAGAGGTTAGTATTAAGTGTGCATCCTTTGATTCTCCCTGCCCTTTCCTTACCTTGAATGGTTTTGCATTGGACCCTCAATACCTTGTTACTATTTTCTCCTTACTAATTTGCTTCTTTTACGATGTCTTTGAATTGCATGTTATACGTAAAGGGGGCGGAGAGAAGGGAGTTTGTGTTTTCCATCCTAAAATTTACGTTATTGGAAGATTTGATTTATGAAATGGAATAAAATCTGAATTCTTCCCACAATCTATAAGCATTTAACTATTTAAGAGGAACATTGTATTCAAACGCAATATTAGACTGTTTCCTTTCTGTAAAGTAAGATTGTGTATGATATGTGAATCATAAATTGATGGGTTACCATATCCATCTTGTATGTTGTATCATGAGATTTCTATTGCATAAGCTTGCAAACTTCCTGGCTATCTACCCCCCTTTCATGCATCAATTTGTGATTGGCTGATTTTTTGCGTTTAGAATCTGTTGGAAACAGCCCCTTAATTATGGCTGGGGGTTAGATGCACATATCTAGCTGGCCATAATCCTATTTAAATGGGTGATGTTTGGTTTAGTTTTCGAGTAGGTGGTAGAATAGGTTCTCTTTCGTTGGCATGTGCTTCTTACAAAATTACGAGTAAAACAAGAAACTTCACAAGTTTAATTTTGGATGTCAAGGTGCATTTTGTATCTTGCTGTAGTGATGACGATCTTATTTTTCTAAGATGCATTTTTTGCAAAGCCTACGTATTTCCACAGCTCACCTACATATATACTGTTCACACCCAAATACCAACCGTTGCATTTTTTTTCCCCATTTGTGTTGAGCAGAATTCGTGGGAAGCAGCTTGCAGAAATGCCATTTATTGGCACACGTAATGTTTACAGGCGCAAAGGAATGTGCAGACGTCTACTTGCTGCAATTGGACAGGTGCGTTGACCACCTCTAATGCCTCATGTTGCCATATTGGGTCAACTCTTAGTTGTCTTTTTGAGAGTTCTTATTATTGATGTGATTGTTGACCACCTCGGTGATGATTCTGTGTGTTGCTGAATTTTATTGAGCTATAAATTGATTTAAATGCATGCAAATTGTTCAATATTATTTTCATTTCTCTTGACGGGCTACCTATAATTTGTGGGGTAAACACAAAAGCTTTGGAAACTGGAACTTGGAAACATTGTGGAATTAACATCAAGAAATTCACTTGATTTCCATTTGTTTAAGGGAAATGCTGCAATCACTTGATCGAGTTGATGTATTATCCATGTTACACAACTAGGAGATTATTTATAACTTTTGTTCACCTATGGTTCTTCATATACTTCCTCCGTTTTGCTATTATTACCCCACTTGCCTTGTAAGGAAGTTTCATAAATATTGCACCATACCAATTATGGACACTTGTTTCTTTATTTATGTTTACAATCACATAAGCAATTTTGTATTTTTTTTCCTCTCTTCCTTTTTCCCACTACCAAGAACTTTATATACTTCCTCCATTTTGCTATTATTACACCACTTGCCTTGTAAGGAAGTTTCATAAATATTGCACCATACCAATTATGGACACTTGTTTCTTTATTTATGTTTACAATCACATAAGAAATTTTGTATTTTTTTTCCTCTCTTCCTTTTTCCCACTACCAAGAACTTCATATACTTCCTCCATTTTGCTATTATTACACCACTTGCCTTGTAAGGAAGTTTCATAAATATTACACCATACCAATTATGGACACTTGTTTCTTTATTTATGTTTACAATCACATAAGCAATTTTGTATTTTTTCATCTCTTCCTTTTTCCCACTACCAAGAATATTGCCCCACCTCCCCCCCCCCCCATGATGGTATATTACTTGAACGGAGGAAGTATTGAAAATTGCAGTAATGGGGGGATTACTTGTGTTTCTTGGCTAGGCTTTGTGATACCATAAGTCCATAAGAAGATCTAGGTTTCTGGTAATATTCTCTTACTGACTGTTGAGGCTGTGGGGACTTTTTTCATACTGAAGGCTGATCAATCCTCTGTTGGTGAAAAAGCATAGAGCAGACTTGTAGTGTTTTTTTACATGCCCTTTATTTTCTTGGTTGATTAATGGTTGGTGATACTTGTAGCATATTTTTTGAAGATATGCAATAGAGGATATTGTAGTATCATTTAAGCACGTCTTACAACCTTGCATTGCAACTCTTGTATCTCAAATTTTTATTATCTTTATCATGTTCAGGCTCTTGGCACTCTAGAGATTGAGAACCTAGTCATCCCTGCTATTACTGAACTTACGAATACATGGACTTCAGTATTTGGTTTCAACCCTCTAGAAGAATCTATAAGAAGGGAAATGAGATCAATGAATATGTTGGTATTTGCGCACACTGATATGCTGCAAAAACCGATTGTAAATCAACAGTTTGCTGAGAAAAGCACATCCTTTATAGGTTTGTATATTTTTTAATCATCTCTAGTTTGCATATTTCTTAATTTTGTAGATGCTTTTCTAAATAAAACCCTGATCTCTATTATGAAATTGATTTTATTTATTAATTTATCAGAGAAAGATGCGGATTCTGGTGTATCTCAGAATGACCAGATAGACTGTCCTGCTGTTAAAACTGATGCTGATAAACCTGAGATTGATGATGGCTGTTTGAATGGTAAATTTGACTTGAATTGTGTTGCTCCTAATGCCCCTGACTCGTCGTCTGATGAAAAATGTCTGGTTCATCCTGATTCTGATGCTGAGAACTGTGAAGATGATGTAAAAAGAAGAATGAATTACGGAGATGATAAAAATGATGATGGCCGAACTGGGGTGTCTGATATTGTAATGAATTCTTCTGAGCTTAGGACCCTGCATCCCGACTTGAATTTGATGGCGGAAACTGATTCTTTTTCTGATGAGAAAAGTCATGGCTGTCATGGTCCTGATACTATGAACTTTGATGAGGTAGCAAAAAGTACCTCAAATTCTTCTGGTCTTACTAATGTCAAGGAGTGCTGTACCGTTGAAAGTGACGATGATCAAAATGGGGATTCTACTTCTGTCAGAAGTTCTGAGGAAAAGGTTCTTAAATATGACTTGAATTTAGAGGGAAAGGTCTTGGAGGACGATGACAGTTTGCGTTCCAATTCGACAAGTGTTGGAGCCCCATTTTCCAGACTAGATGGGCAAGAATCAATTGACCATTTGACAACGCAAGGAAATGATAACCTATTGGAAGTGACTAACTGTTGTAGCAGCCAAAATGTAGATGGTGAAACAGGGCCTTCAGCTTTTCCTGCAGCTGGTCAGGTGTCAGAAATAAAATACTCTGAAGTTGAGACAAGTAAAGCTAATGATTTGGGATCCAATACTGGGGACCTTACTGCTGGAGCTGAGTTGCTTACAAAATCTACCAAGTGTTCTGACTCTGAGTCTAAAAATTCATTAGTAGTGTGCACTAGGGTCGCACAGGTCACTACTGAGTCCTCGTGTAATCTAAGCTCTGCTGCTGGTGAGAGCTGTGTTGCTGGTGTATTTCATGGCAGTGGCATGGCTAAGGTAATACTGCACAGCATTACTAAGATTAAGCTTGCCTTGTTTTAAATCTTTAGCCAATCTTTAATTATAGTTAGTTGGCTGTGATGTGCCTCTTAAATAGTAGCCTTTTATTGATTTTGTGGAAAAATGCATTTCTTGCTCATCTTGCTAACTTGGCTAGTATTATCAGATTTCATTTTTATTAATTCCCTTTTTTTTTTTTTACAAATAATCAACCACTTATACTTTATTTTTGTACGGAGTTAGGCAATACAATTTAACTGTCCATTATTATAGAATTTTGACATCTTCACTTAACCAATGTAGTAATTCTGTGGAATTAAGGCCTTAAGGGTGTTCTGAGAAAGTTCAAAAATTGACATACTAATTTAGCGTTTTAGCAAGTGACCTACTCTATTATTTTTGGAAGGACTGTGAACTGTGGCCCTTATTTTGTTTGTTTTTTTTGCTGAGGGTTGTTTTTTTTGTTTTTGTTTTTGTTTTTTTTGATAATTAGATAGAAATTCTCAATATTTTTTTGACTTAAGCTCCCTGCCTCTCCATTCTTCACACAAATTATTCATCCACCATATGAGCCATCTTCATATCCTTGTACCTCTTGATGTGTCATATGAGTATGAAAACAAATGTCTAGTGCATGCAAAAATGCCTTTCCTCTGAGATTTAGCTTATTTACTTGGTATTTAGTTATTCAATTTATAACTTACATCTCCGTTTATGTGGTTGAATATATATTTTTTTTCTGCATTTAATCCATTGAAAACTTTTGCAGGTTGGTCCAACAAAATCTTAGGTGAAGAGAGATCTCAAGGTGAAAGTAGATACGCCATTGTATAAATCTTTTAGTAGGCAGATTAAAGACCGACCATCATAGCTCATTCACACCTTGTTCATAGCCTGTGCAGTTAGTATGTTGTAGTTTGCAGTTTTATCTTCATTTTCTTCTTGTCCTTTGCGACCCCCTTATATGACCGAATCTGAGAAGCAAATCATTAAACGAGGAGCATGAATGGGGAATTATTGTACCTTTACCAGTGTACATTTTGGTATAGTATTAGCATTATGACAGTGACCAGTTTTCAGTATCTTGACAGGAAGGCAGATAATCTTAGACCTTTAGGTATGCACATTCTTTTCTTTGTTGCATTGTTTTTCAATTTACTCTGATTGTACTGAGTTCAGGGTCTCCAATGACTATATCCAGGGTTGATGAATCCTTTGCTTACGTGCAGATTGCTGACCATTTTTTACAATACTCAACGCAGCAAAAGTCCTCTTGCAAGGGTTGCTGTCTTTTGATATGAAACATTGCAGACGCCATTGTTAGTTGATTCAAACATTCATTTGGCGGACTTTTGTTATTGTACATTCCATGAACTCCTTATGGGATCCTTTTGAGTAGCTAGGCACATCCTTTACATAGGCTAAGAGGGCCACAGTATAGTTATGTTTAAGAGTATCATCTTAGGTTATCATTCTATGGCCCCTTGCTTTTGTTTTTTGTAAATGGAAAGAAGAAACAATGAAACAGGCTCTTTTGCTGATTTTATACAGTAACTGTTGACTTTGCGCCTCCTATAACAGCCAGTCCTTGTTTCAGGCGACCAGAGCATAGAGCGAGACAATTATTGGAAAATGTACACTCATAATTGGATATGGGAGCGTAAAATTCAGTTTCGAGCGTGAAAGTCATTGTATTGCTTGGTGCAAAGACCATTTTTAAACTATTTTTGTTTTTTTTTTATTACTGTTCACGGAGTTTTAATTTAATTCACCATATACAACCAAAAACTTTCTAATTTAATATATGCCATTAAGTTCTTGTGAAATGTCACAAAATACCTTTTTTATAGCTGCCTTTGGCAAACCGTTTGGGATATTATACTAATTCACCATATACCCATGTTTATAAAGTTATTTCACCATATACTATTAATTAAAAGATATTTCACTATATACCTAGAAATTACAACGGTTATTTTTTGTAAACAAAAAATTAGTAGTTGACTGTTATAACGGATAGTTTATGTATATAAACATAATAGTTGAGGGATAGAAGCAGCGCTTCACCCTTCTCAAAGCATTTGCAAAGATGTCAACATACTCGTAATCATCGTCATCTTACAAATATGCATATGCCAAACAAAGCTTGTACATGTGGGAAGAAATTTGCATTAAGGAGCTGTGGTTCGGCAAAATATCCATAAAAGTTGTACTATAAGTGTGATATATGACATAAATTTCGATGGTGCAAGGGTAATGCCGAGCAAAATGTCCTTCCGGGTTATGAATTTCAAAGCAGGGGAAGCATAGACACACAATGTCATGGAGATGAGAGTATGTTAAAGGAGCTCAAGAAAAGAGTAGTAAAGCAGCAAAAAAAATAGTAGAAGCAATAATTAAAATAGCCATTGCAAATTCTTAGTATATGGTGAAATATCTTTTAATTTAATGGTATCTGGTGAAATAACTTTATAAACATGTGTATATGGTGAATCAGTAAAGTACCATAAACGACAATTATAAAAAAATTTATATTGTAGTATTGCACAAGAACTTAGTGGTGCATGATGAATTAGAAAGTTTTTGGTGGTATATATAGTGAATTAAGTTAAAACTCAATGGTATATGGTGAAAATTTCGTTTTTATTATGTAAAAATGTAGATGTACATTTCCCAAAGGCAAATCATTTAAGGGGAATTAATTAAGGTAGAGGCAAATGATTAAGATAACCGTGAGATTAAAAACTTATAATTTTGTACCAATTGGTTGTTGGTGTAATGGTGATTGAGACTATACTTGGTAGAGAGGACCTGTGTTTGATCCCCTGCAACAACAATTGGGAGAGGACTGAAATCTAACCACCCAAAACTGATTTCCGAATCCGGATTATCCCAAAGGGTGAATCGGGTGGAACACCATACAAAAAAAAAATTCTTAATCCGGATTATCCCAAAGGGTGAACCGGGTGTACACCAAAAAAAAAAAAAAAAAAAACCTTACAACTTTGTACATACATACGGCCACACAAATCAATGTGTACAAGTCAAAAGGTCTACTAATACTTGCAACTTTCTTTGGCTATAAAGAAGACTTGACATGTTTCCTCCTAACACATTCTTTGCTCACAAACCTCTCACAAACCTTGTCGGTCTCATACTTAATGTCTGGTAACCCAATCACCAAGCCTTGAGACCCAATTTTGTTTAGAAATATAAGGCTAACAATATGGGCTAGTCCTTTATGCCAAGCCACTGGTCATTTTCAAAAATAGCTCACAAATAGATGGACTTGTTCTCGGGGATCTAATTCAAATAAGTGATATACGCATTGTTGTGTCTAGTTCACTGACATACAAGTTCATTTGTTTTTGCATCGACTATGCAACAAAAGTTGGCTTGAAAATCAACTTTATCATCTTTGTCACATATTTGAGAAATACTCAAAAGATTATGTTGCAAGCCTTCAAATATGAAATAACCATGGAATAGAGGGGAAGATCAGCTAGCAACAACACAAGATAAATCAGTATCAAAAATCACCAAGATTTATGAAATAGGAGTTCTTAATAAAAGCCAACACCAAGTAAAGCTAGGATTAAGGTGTAATCACAAAAATTGCAAAGAAGCAATCACAAAGATAGCAAATAAGTTACAAGACTAAGGAGAGAGAAAATTCCATTGATTACAAAACAACAAGCTTAACCTTATATAAAAGGCATTACAAACAAACCTAGAGTTCTTAATTTACATCCCTAAGATTACAAGAGGAAATGTCAAGATTAAACAATGAAAGTAAGAGGAAAAATAGAGTAATTATTCGCATGAAACAGGACCTCTAGAGCAGTCGCTCCAAGCTCAGGAGCGGGCGCTCCACTTGAAAGTAGGAGTGAGCCCTCCTCCCTTATATATGTAAGGAAATCTCAAAACAAATGCTCATAATTCTTCGTTTCTTGGTCAAATTGGGCACCTGACATGTCATTGGAAAGCTCGATCTTGAACTCTACTTTAATCACCAATGGATTGTTTTAAAATTTCTAATAGTGAAGAAGATTAAGCTGATTGAATTCGAATAATAATGTATTTTCGATCAAGTACAAGCTTTTCTTTATCCTTATTATTTCCACGCTTACACCTACAACCATCAATTTTAAAACAAGACAAAAGCATCATCACTCTTATTCACCTAAGCCACATCATAAGATAGGAAAGTTATCCAAAGAGAAGATTGGAGCCATATATTATGCCACAAAATAGATCATATATCCATATAATTTGTAGATTTCATGGATGCTCCCGCATATAATCCGTAGCTTCAACATAATAAACATCATTAATAACATGTGAGAATGACCTAGAAATACCTTGAATGGTACCTATATTGCTTTTACCAAATGTCACACTCCTACCTTCATAGGCTGTAAGTGAAAAAAAATGAATTTTATACTTGGACATGTTTCTTGATGATCAAACACTGTCCAAATATCAGTAGGTAACTTCATTTCACATTAACATATAAAACACGACTAAGCGTAAGTCTTCGGATATAAACCTTTATAGGTCCCTTTCCAACAACAAAATCAATTAAGTCCTTCCTAAACATGTTTCTATAAACCTCTACTTTTGGCCTCCTGTCCCGACAGGAAGTGCAATGACGATAATTAAAATCATATTCGTGTTGGATCAACGTGAAGAACACTTATGGATAACTGATTGAATCACAAAAACATAAAATTAACTAGCCTAACCCAAAAACAAAAGCAATAAGGTCCAATCAACTAAGCCTGATCATAATTAGGCTTAAGCCCGAGCTTAAAACCTAAAAATGACGGATTTAGAGGCGCCTAGGTTAAAAATCAATGTTGCCGTAGAGAAATCCGCGCACATATCAATGAGTCGCGCTAGTCTGGCGCAAGCAACTCACAAGTTTCGCTCAAAACCTAGCGCAACTGCTAGTAATGTGCTTGCGGAAGATTCAAAGTTTCATAAAAATTTGAAATCGAATCTTACCATAATACTGCGCGCAAGACTATCAGTTGCGCTGCTACCAATTCACTTGCGTTGGGCTGTCGCGCGCAACCCATTCAGATGGGCGCGACACCTGCTGCGGAAGAATGTTCAAAACCCTAAATGTACCCATTCCCTATAAATGGAGGCTTAATACGAGGCTCAAAAAGACAAAAATTAATCTAAAATTCTGGCAAAAACTTTGTGAACTTGTGAACAACCAAACCCTCTTGTCCTAAATACTCACCCCTTTAATATTTGTTACGTACTACGGTGGAGGTTCTTGAACAAGGAGTCCATAAGTGTTCTAAACGAAGATCTAGCAAAGAAAAGTGGTAAATTCCCGAGCACTTAGATCAATCACCTTTTTGTTCTTGCTTAAAATAACTTTAATTAATTAATTAGTGTTGTTTGATCACTTTAAACGGACCTTTAATTAATTAATTAATTTCACATAGTATCTTACGACGTTAAATAAGAATAGAATTGAAATTGTTGGTTGATCACTTAAGCCAAGGCGAATCTTGTTTATTTTGTTCTATTCACGAATATTGATTAAATAAGAATAACGAATTTTGCAATGTAATTCCTATGTGATTAATGCGTATAAATAAAATCAAATAACTTAGTTTTAGGTACCATGTTGCATATATTGTTTAGTGATGAAATTGTGAAAAAGGAAGAGCTAGTAGAGGTCGTAACTAGGGCTAGAATAGTGATTCCTCCCTAAAAGGAACATTATTTTAGTACCCTCGCTCTCAAACTCATTTCTGGTACAAGTAGACCAATTTGGGCATGAGTAAACTTACGGTTCGTGCTAATTATCCCTTGAACTCTACTTGGGAGAAAGACATGAACGAGGTTTATGAGTTTTCCTAAAACTCATTGGCGACTCCTACTTGTTTCTTACAAAAAAGCGTGATGATAGGATCATTTCTAATTCAAGGTCCCCTAATCAGTCAGGAATTCAAATCCTAATACACCTAACAAGTGTAAATTCCTAGGATTTTAAAGGTCCATGGGCATTTATGGAGAAAGATCCCCTACGATGGGAACACCCTCCTTACAGTTTCACTTTCTTAGCATTCTTAGGATTTGTTCTCTTCACCTGAAACAAGTAGATCTGGTCTGAATTTTTTAAGGTATGATCTGAATTTTTATGATCTGGTCTGGTTTGACCTGATTTAACAATTTAACTAAACCTTAACCGCATTTAAATACTAATCTATAAAGAAATACAGTATCAAAATGGATCTTGTTAGATTCATCTTATCATGACCTTTTTAAATATGTAATTTTTATATAAAAAAAATTTATACGCAATTAACGATAAGTAAATGATAATCAAAAGTTTTAATATGGTCTAATCTGAATCTTTTTATCTGATATAAATATTTAAGGAATAAATAATAAGTATCTTAAATAAGTTGAAGAGAACAAGTCCTTAACTATGATTTTTATCCTATGAGCAAACTCATTCTTTTTGTGATAATTTTTGCCACAATGATAGCACACATGCATATCTTTAGCAAGCACATACTTACCCTTCTTATATTCTCGAATCCAAGTGGTTTCTATTGGAATTCAATTCCTTTTGTTCGCGTTACGCTTGTTACCAAGTCCTTTCCTTATATTGTTTCCAGTTATAATAGTAAAGTGGTTTTGAGTATTCTAAAATGAAGAGTTCTTTCCATGGCTTTTGCATTCTTCTCCAGCTTTT